TGAGCCGGTCCACTCCCCCCCCCCCCCCCCCCCATCCATGTCTTTATGGACCTTGACAGGATGAAGGATACGATGTGTATAGAGTGGACTGGATTGTTCCTCATTCAAGCTCTGGTGAAGAGGAACCATTTCTGGTCCCCGCCACACGTTGGCTTCATCTGATCTGACATTGGAATAAGCTTCAATCTCAGATTCTGCTTTAGTAGAGCGGCCAATAGCAGATTAGAAAAAGTCCCGCGTACAGTTCGCCATGCGTGGCCATGAGTTGTGAGGGACCAAATCAGCACTGCTCGTTCAGAGGACCGTATTACTACAATTCAAGCCCTAAAGACCGAGAACTATGAAAACCCCAAAAATTCCAATACACAATTGCCCAGCCCCCAATACTCCGCGGCACGCATAACGCACCATAGGGGCCCATTGAACTCCTCTCACAGAGAACTTGAGGCTCGTGTGTTTACACAAGTTCCCCAGTGTCCTAATGTCTCTTGAGGTCTCTGGCCTTTCCCAATCACGAGGAGCTCCAACTCCCCCCGATGGAATTTTTATATCAAAAAGATTAATGAGGACAACCCAATGTGGGCAGGACGAGAGCCAGGACCTATAGCAGATCCCACCACCGGAGATTCCAAGCTTTAGAAGAAGCCACCAGAAACCTCCGACCACCAGACACCACCTATAGCCGATATGTCACCTCATCCAAAACCCTTTATTAACATATAGCTGTGTTTATGACCTAAACAGTTTCACCTGTTATATCCAATTAGATTTCCCGCACTCTGCACGTGAAAAACCGCCCAGCTTAGAGGTTGGCGACACTCAGCACAGAAAAAAGCACCCTAAAGCGTATGCCCTTTCTGGTGTTCAACAAAAGGTGGCTTGCTAAAGAAACCTTTCCCACACTCTAAGCACCAATAAGGACGCTTACCCGTATGCCTCATCTGATGGATCTTAAGTCTCTGCTTATTGATGCAACCTTTACCGCACTCTGAACACGAATAGGGACGCTCTCCCGTGTGAAGTTTCTCGTGATTACTAAGGCATTTCTTCTCGGTGAAACTTCTCCCACACTCTGAGCACGTGTAAGGACGCTCACCCGTATGAATTCTCTGGTGCTTAACAAGGTCTCCTTTCTGGGCGAAACATTTCCTGCACTCTGAACACGGATAAGGACACTTTCCCGTGTGCCTTTTCTGGTGGTAAACGAGCCTTGCTTTGGAAACAAAGTATTTCCCACACTCGGAACATAGGAAGGGACGTTCACCTGTGTGACTTCTCTGGTGCGTGAGAAGTTTCTCTTTATCGTTAAAAGTTTTCCCGCACATTGAACATGGAAAACAATTCTTATCTGTTGGACTTTTCTGGTTGTTAAGATCTCCCTTCAGAGCAAAATCTATCCCGGCATGATGAATTCTCTGGTGGCTCACAAGGTCTCCTCTGTCATCGAAACTTTTTCCGCACTCTGAACATGCATAGTAGCGGTTCCAAACAAAGTCTCCATCTAATGAAACACAAATTTTGACAAAAATGGTTTTAGTATTTTTCATGTCCAACATTGAGGATTCATACATGTGGGTCCAGAACTCAACACATTCACCGAGCTCTGCCATGGGATTGGGAGCAAAACCGAACTATGAATCCAAATCAGATCAATGAGACAATTCACCCAAACTACACCGGGAGAGGATGTGTGTACAGTGGTGTCATTGTTACTGTGAGAGTGGAGATGGACCTTCCTCCACCTCAATTCTAGGAGACCTACTGAAGACCAGAGATGGACCTTCATATGGTGTACAGTATCTCCTCCTCATTTGTTGGTCACATGACGTTATATTGAGGAATGGTGATGGACCTTCATATGGTGTACAGTATCTCCTCCTCATTTGTTGGTCACATGACGTTATATTGGGGAATGGAGATGGACCTTCATATGGTGTACAGTATCTCCTCCTCATTTGTAGGTCACATGACGTTATATTGAGGAATGGAGATGGACCTTCATATGGTGTACACTATCTCCTTAGTGTGCTGTTAACCGCCCAAAGAAGCTCATTTACCTTTCCAGGCGTTTTCCTGCTGTGGTGTGAACAGGGGCCATTGAGAATTATGGGATTTCTTGTACCAAGCATCTCACAGCTGCTCAAAAACTCCTTGGTGTGAACCAGGCCTCAGCGTTTTCACTGTTATTCATTTTTGGGTTACCTTGGTGGACATTTATCTTTTTATTCGACCCATGTAAGATACGAAATATTTATTTTATACTCGTAGACGTAAATTGGAATTGTGAAATGTCTCAGCGCTCAGTACTTACCAGGTTCAATGTGTAAAGACCACGTTGGATTCATCTCCCCCTCCTCCATAGAATGCTGAGCTCCCCTCACCAACATGTCTTCTTCTTCCTCTTTAAACTCAGCTTTGATGGCTTTGATTTCCTCCCCCTAAACCCCGGAGAAGACATTGGGATAAAATAACTTCCAATAACAGGAGATGACACAGAAGAATGTTCTCTTTCATGTTTAGAATAATTTGTGAGTTCTACTGTCCAGTGCAGTGTGTGTGTGCAGTTGTGATTATTCCACGAGGAACACAGAGGACTTTCCTCCTCCATAGACTGCTGATCTCCACTCACCAATGTATCGTCTTCTCCCTCTTTAATCTCAGGTTTGAGTTCTTTAGTTTCTTCACCCTAAACCCCAAAGAAAACATTTTACATAGAAGAAGGTCCTCTCATAGTTCCGAGAATAAATATTAAGTTCTTGTCCCTCAATTCCCCCGACCTGATCATGGTGGGGGATGGTGAGATCTTCCTGGGTGGGATCCCGGGAATGCAGAGGACGGGGACATCTCTCTGGTGGGTTCCTCTTACTGGATCCATCTGTAGGAGACACACACACTGACTGAATACATTGTTTCTATGTGTGTATCAGATGATGGGGGATGTAGGTGGACCTTTTATATGTTGGTCACATGACGTTATATTGAGAAATGGAGATGGACCTTCATATGGTGTACAGTATCTCCTCCTCATTTGTTGGTCACATGACGTTATATTGAGGAATGGAGATGGACCTTCATATGGTGTACAGTATCTCCTCCTCATTTGTTGGTCACATGACGTTATATTGAGGAATGGAGATGGACCTTCATATGGTGTACAGTATCTCCTCATTTGTTGGTCACATGACGTTATATTGGGGAATGGAGATGGACCTTCATATGGTGTACAGTATCTCCTCCTCATTTGTTGGTCACATGACATTATATTGAGGAATGGAGATGGACCTTCCATATGGTGTACAGTATCTCCTCCTCATTTGTTGGTCACATGACGTTATATTGAGGAATGGAGATGGACCTTCATATGGTGTACAGTATCTCCTCCTCATTGGCTGGAAACATTGGGTTGCAGGGAAGATACATCGATGATGTTCTTACTGTGAACAGTTCAGGTTTCTTAATCTTTCCCTTACTGAAGCACTTGAAGTTCTCTTTCACTATGGAGGAAAATTGGGCCAAGCTTTATGTTGGTTTTCTGCCTTCATCTAGATCTCAACCTGTGTGTCGTCACATGCCTTGTGCTGCGCTAGGCGAGAGGCTCCTCAGCCTCCTCCTAGTGCAGCAGTGTCAGTTCTCCGGCCGCGCCTCTAGATGGCCACGCGGCGACCAGGGAGGATCAAAGAGAGGGCAGTGGGTGGGAGTGAGGGAAGTTGAGTGTCAGCCACAGAGCTTGCACTGACCACCAGGGAGCCTGCAGTGACTGTGAGAGCCCCCCCATTGACCACCCGTGAGACCACACTGGCCACCTGAGAGCTCGCACAGATACTAGTATTGGTGCATCCCTAAATTTACGGTTGGGGGGGTCACCACAACTTGGCAAATGTTCCCAACTGGTCCAGGCCCTAGAAAGGCTGAGAGCCACTGCTCTAGAACAGCAGCTTGCTTAGGGCTTTCATTATTATTATTATTAAATTTTGGGTCAACTTGATGGACATTTATCTTTTTTTTCAACCCATGATCCTAAATATATATTTTATACTCGTAGAAAATAGAATTTATACTCGTTAAATTGGAATTGTGAAATGTCTCAGCGTTCAGTACTTACCTGGGTCAAAGTGTAGAGACCATTGAACTTGTTCACCTTTCATATTCATCTCCCCCTCCTCCATAGACGGCTGAGCTCCACTCACCAACGTCTCTTCTTCTTCCTTCTTAAACTCAGCTTTGATGTCTTCCAGATCTTCACCCTAAACCCCCAAAGATGACATCGGGATAAAATAATTGCCAATAATAGGAGAGGACACAAAGAATCTTCTCTTTTATGTTGAAATAAATGTTTGAGTTCTGTTGCCCAGTCGCATCTACCAGTTCATATGTGATTATCCGATGTGGAATGCCGGGAACAGAGAGGACTTTCCTCCTCCATAGACTGCTCATCTACACTCACCAATGTATCATCTTCTTCCTCTTTGACCTCGGGTTTGGTGTCTTTAGGTTCTTCACTCTAAACCCCAAAGAAAACATATTAGTGAAGAGATTCCATAGAAGAATGTCCTCTCATAGTTCAGAGAATAAATATTAAGTTCTTGTCCCTCAATTCCACCGACCTGATCATGGTGGGGGACGGTGAGATCTTCCTGTGTGGAATCCCGGGAATACAGAGGACGGGGACATCTCTCTGGTGGGTTTCTACTAGTAGATGGCTCCATCATGATGACCTTCAGAGGTCCTTCTAAATACTTTCACTCCTCCTCACTTCTCCGGTCAGGTCTGTGTTTTATTAATACAGATGAAAGTTATGTCATGGGACCTCCCAGAACCCTCCTCACCTCCTCCTGATCTATACAGGACACTCCTCCCTATAGATAGATAATCTGAGAATTATGAGGACTGTATTGGGATGAATAATGTCTACACAGAGTTCCTCCCTAGTTCTCACACCTCTGGATGGACAGTTGGATAAATGGCTCTATATTTAGGATGTATCCGGTCTATAAATGGCAGCTCTGGATGGACAGTTGGATGAATGGCTCTATATTTAGGATGTATCCGGTCTATAAATGGCAGCTCTGGATGGACAGTTGGATGAATGGCTCTATATTTAGGATGTATCCGGTCTATAAATGGCAGCTCTGGATGGACAGTTGGATGAATGGCTCTATATTTAGGATGTATCCGGTCTATAAATGGCAGCTCTGGATGGACAGTTGGATGAATGGCTCTATATTTAGGATGTATCCGGTCTATAAATGGCAGCTCTGGATGGACAGTTGGATGAATGGCTCTATATTTAGGATGTATCCGGTCTATAAATGGCAGCTCTGGATGGACAGTTGGATGAATGGCTCTATATTTAGGATGTATCCGGTCTATAAATGGCAGCTCTGGATGGACAGTTGGATGAATGGCTCTATATTTAGGATGTATCCGGTCTATAAATGGCAGCTCTGGATGGACAGTTGGATGAATGGCTCTATATTTAGGATGTATCCGGTCTATAAATGGCAGCTCTGGATGGACAGTTGGATGAATGGCTCTATATTTAGGATGTATCCGGTCTATAAATGGCAGCTCTGGATGGACAGTTGGATGAATGGCTCTATATTTAGGATGTATCCGGTCTATAAATGGCAGCTCTGGATGGACAGTTGGATGAATGGCTCTATATTTAGGATGTATCCGGTCTATAAATGGCAGCTCTGGATGGACAGTTGGATGAATGGCTCTATATTTAGGATGTATCCGGTCTATAAATGGCAGCTCTGGATGGACAGTTGGATGAATGGCTCTATATTTAGGATGTATCCGGTCTATAAATGGCAGCTCTGGATGGACAGTTGGATGAATGGCTCTATATTTAGGATGTATCCGGTCTATAAATGGCAGCTCTGGATGGACAGTTGGATGAATGGCTCTATATTTAGGATGTATCCGGTCTATAAATGGCAGCTCTGGATGGACAGTTGGATGAATGGCTCTATATTTAGGATGTATCCGGTCTATAAATGGCAGCTCTGGATGGACAGTTGGATGAATGGCTCTATATTTAGGATGTATCCGGTCTATAAATGGCAGCTCTGGATGGACAGTTGGATGAATGGCTCTATATTTAGGATGTATCCGGTCTATAAATGGCAGCTCTGGATGGACAGTTGGATGAATGGCTCTATATTTAGGATGTATCCGGTCTATAAATGGCAGCTCTGGATGGACAGTTGGATGAATGGCTCTATATTTAGGATGTATCCGGTCTATAAATGGCAGCTCTGGA